CTTGTTTTAGCATGGGTGTTCGGAATATCATTTCAAGTGTGTGATGTGATGTTTTGGTAATGGTAGCATTCTATTTGCTACTCTAGAATATGTATTGGGCTTTTCTTTGCGGTTCTTACAAACTATGTCATCTTAGATATTTCAGTTGCTGACTTTTATTCGTTTCTCCTCCGATTTTCTTATCACAATTGAATTAAAATAACACTTTTTTTGTTTGTTTAATATTTCCTTGCTTTCAAATTTAACGTTTTGAACCATTCCTCTCCGTACTGTAGATCACCATACACCACTTCTAATGACAGGATTATTCCATTTATTTATTTATAATCTACCACCTACTTCCCGAAATAAATGTCACGCAGTATTTCCACCAGTCTGCAGATGACCGTTGCTATGCATAAATGCACATAATTGAATTGATCTATGTAGATAAAGTATGAAGAATAGTATTATTGTAAAAGTAAAGCACACACACAGACACACGCAAACACACATACACACACACACACACACACACACACACAGACAAAGGTAGATCATTTTTGTGTAATTACAATATCATGTTTCAATTTTCCGCATCCATTTTATTGTTTGTTTAACAGTGGCTCGAGCCTATGCTAATGATTTTGATGTGAATGGGTGTATGTATGTAGGTAATGAATTATTTGTAAAGCCTTTGTGTGTGCGTGTATGTGTGTGCATGTGTGTGTGTGTGTCCGCGCGTTCGAGAGTGTATATGTGCTTTCACTTTTAAAATTTTGTTTCACTTTTCTGAGTTCGCTGTCGTTTTATATAATTTTAATTGTTTTTTCCTATTATGCGAATATATATATATATATATATATATATATATATATATATATATATAAGTGGTGAAAAGTTCTCGACCTGAACAAGAAGCCCTTTTCAGCCAAAACGTCTGTCTGTTCATGACACGCATGGTTTACAAAGGCAATTTTGGACTACATCTCACCAAAACTTATCCACCACGACCCTGCCATTACATGCATTGTTTTACACACACGCACACGCACACACACACACACACATATATATATATATGTATGTATAATGCTATCTTATATATATGTTAGCAAATATTGTATATATTTCGATCTCTTCATATTTCTACATATATCATTTTTTTGTTTGTTGCTTTCATTCTATTCACCTTTTTTTTTTACAATTCTTCCTCGATATTTTTAAAACATAGTCATCTATATATCTATCTATCTATCTATCTATCTATCTATCTATATATATATATATATATATATTGATGTATTGTACATGTATATATTATAATGAGTCTCTTCAGATCTTCTTATCATATTTAATTTCTTCCTATCTATCAATATTCCGATCATTTGTATGTTACTATCTTTTCTTATCTATATGCTCGTGTTATTAGTTTTATGCAGCTGTTTAAAAAAACAAAAACTAAAAAAACAAAAACAAAAAAAAACAGCGACAAAAATGAATACACACAATTATACACGCTATTATACATTATCTATTTTCTGTGTTAAGAAGACCATTTAACAAAACATTTATGGGTTTGTCCTTCGCCATTTTTTCGCGCCCGTGCTCGTAAATTATTCGCTCATACCAGACTCTGGCAAATTTAAATTAAGGCAGCACATACGACAGCATCAATAAAGCTCCAATTTTTTTGTTAATAAACCAGAACTGAATAAATGTTGATGTATTGTACATGTATATACCAGTCTGTAGTTAATTTAGTTTGACAAAAAGCAACAAGTATGTGGCACCCACTGAGGTTTGAACTCATACTAAAAATGATCGGCGGTACTAGCTTCTAATCATAATTTCATGGTAAACGATCCTCAATATTGTCAAATATAAGCTTATTCTATCTAGCACAGGACCACAACAGAGTGACACCTAGTGAGGCATGAACTTAGCAGTTGTATAAAAAAAAAACGAGATTTCAAATTACTGCTCTGCGGCAAGCGACCCCATCCTCCAAGGCGTTTCATTTACTGAACTTTGAATACTAGCGTAGAAATACAATAATGGAACATCGAATGAGAATCAGCCACCCACCTCTATAGACGGAAAATGTCTAAAAATTAATCTGTTAACCATTATTCAATAGCAATGACTTCACATGTTTATGTCTTTATTTCTATCTTTCTTCTTCCATTTCTTTGTACGCGTTTGTGTACACGCGCGTGCGTGTGTGTGTGTGTGTGTGTGTGTGTGCATAAAAATATGTTGATACCTGTACGCATATACCTGTATTATTATTTGCTTTTCGTTGGAAGGTTGCGTGTTTGTTTAAGTAAATATCAATATATCTGTGTGTGTGTGTGTGTGTGTGTGTGTGTGTGTGTGTGTGTGTGTGTGTTTTCGGGAAATTAATTTAAAATTAAAATTTCAAACACGCATATACACCTGCATATACACACACATAAAAAAGTACACTTAAACATAGACACGTATTTCCAAATACGAATACGTGCAAAAAGACGCACACATTTTTTACATTTATGCACACACTACATACCCACCACTCTATCTATCCATCTATCTATCTATCTATCTATCTATCTATCTATCTATCTATCTATCTTGCTTTCTCTCTCTCCCTCTCTCTCTCCCTCTCTCTCTCCTTCTCTCTCTCTCTATAGATAGATAAATAGATAGATAGATAGATAGATAGATAGATAGATAGATAGATATAGAAATTGTAAAAATAAAAGCTAAGACTTAAAATAAGATATATAAACTTAGGGCTAAATGCCAAAGTCGACAGAGCCTAAATATAATATGCCAAAGCAAAATCCGCTTCTCAGCTTAGTGTAATAACAATCATGAGCCGAACACCTGATAATTGTCATTACATCATAATATTATATCATATATATATTATATATATATATATATATATATATATATATATATATATATATATATGCGTATTCGTATGTGTAATACCATGTCTATGTGTAAGTATGCATCTTCATATGTATGTGTTTGTGCGTGCATGTGCTGATGTATATGCATGTGTGTAATTTTAATTTTAAATGAATTTTCAAAAAACATACTTAGGTCTGCCGTACTAGTGAGCCTGCAGTGCACCGAAGATTTAAAAATGATGGTTCGTGAAACTATAATCTGAAGACATACTTTTATAAACACGACTATTGAATTTCCTTGGCGTATTTCTTCGAATAACATGGTGGATAATCTTGTCGCCAGTCACCACGAGGCGCCGAGTCGGCTTTGAATAAAATGTTTTTCAATCTTGGCTCAAGTAATAATTTTGTTTTTGTTGTTGTTTTATATTAAAACAATTACAAAAATTTTGTTACAAATGTATAGTTCATTTATTTTATCAATTTTTATTTTTTGTAGTTATTTTGGAAAAATATATTTTTTTATCTATCAACTAAATTTCTGAACTTTCGTGTACTACGATATTTTAATATTAGCAATAACATCATTATCCTTTTTGTTATTTTAAATTTCTTGTTGGCAAATTGAAAGAAACATTGTCTATTGTTTCTAATGAGCTATAAAATTCGTGTAAAATTCCCATACTTCCAAAAATGCACCAATGTATCTAAAAAAAATTTAACTGACGTTTATGTTAAGCTATACCGTAGAATAATAGATAGCGGCTCGGAATGAGGAATCGGAGAGCCGAGTTCGAATTCCAGTTGAATCCATTGCATTCACTTACGTGCTAATATCCTTGGGAAAGGTATAAATCCTCTTCTCCACCCAGCTATAGGTTAATAGTTCTATAGCCTTGGATGGCAAGTGGTCTACTGCAGAAAGAAATGGCGGGAAAAAAATCTGCCTCTTCAATCATGTAACTAAAGATACATGATCGCCTAAGCATGTATCACGCATTGCACGTAACTGACTGATATGTATTTATTTGTTTTAAATTTTGTTGTCAAAACAAATTGTCACCATGCAATAAAATTATAAAATAAATGTTATTTTCCGTCGACCGAAGAAAGAGGCTAATGTGGTTAATTCGAATCTTTTTTTTATTTTTATTTTATTTTATAAGATTTTTTTAATGTACTTATTCATTTGTGTAGTCACTTAAATTATTTTGAGGTTTTCCGCATCGGCTTAACATTGTTCATATATACGATGAAATAGGCTTATTATTTGCTTATTTAATATTCAACTGAACAAATAGGTTCTGTATATCTCATCTGAGATTTACGTTTTCGAAATTGGTGAAATCTAAACTCGGTGTCAGTATATAACATTCCTTTTGCCTTCAATATGTCCTGTGAATGTCGAACTTTCCAAGCCCTCTTTTCTCATTATGTGCCCAAGAAATTTCAACCGATTCTTTCTGATGTTAAGTATGTGTCTTTTTTGTTCCCATTTTCTCTAAAGCTACGTCTTGATTCCATGTTTAGTCCAAGGTATTCTCAAATGATTCTTTCTGGTTCTAAATGTCCTTTTTGTTCCCATTTTCCCTAAAACTCCCTCGTTACTCAGATGTTCAAAACATGGTATTCTCAGCATCCTTCTGTAGAACTACATTTCTGTTGCCTCAAGTCTTTTCTTCAACTGCGTGGAGATTGTCCAGCATTCTCTGTGATATAGGAGAAATCAATATTACATGAGACTAGATCAACCATTCTGTAAAAACCTACTTGGCATATAAACCACAGCAGCAACGCTTAACATAATGAGTCTGTTGCCCTATAGTCCAAAGGGAAGTCAATAGGACCTGCATGAATTTATTCTCATACGCATGTTACATTAATCAAAGTGTACAGTATACAGTTATTTCAGAGATTGTTCCTGATGATAATATTACTACTCAGTGGTCATCCGTACCAAGACAAAATATATGGGTTATTGGGGTGTGAGGGTTCAATACGACCATGCTAACGATATACGCCTTTAACGTCGAAGAGTTGATGAAAGTCCCTCGATCCAAACAAAAAGAGATTCCTAAACAAGTTCTAACATTGGATTATTTGGTCAGAATTTATGAAATGGTTCAGTCTGAGAACTTGTTGATATCTATCTATCTATCTATCTATCTATCTATCTATCTATCTATCTATCTATCTATCTATGTTGCTTTAGACCGTGGCACATACTGCGATAAGATTCAGTCTGGTAAAAAAGATCAGCACAAGAAAGTGTTATGCCACGGAGATGCAGACGAATTCCTGTTTATTTAAAGCAACAAAAGAGGAATCGGAGAGGAAGCCATCGATAAGTTGAATGCTCATTTCGGAGAATTGAAAGCGCATGTTGAACTTAACACATTGGTGGTGCTTCGATGTTGTTAACAGTGGTCAAATTTATATTACTGATCAAGTAATATAAATTTGACCACTGTTTTGGATGCCCATTTAGCATAGAGCTCACCAAGGTTGATGCATTGTAAGAGCAGAAGTTGGAGACAGCATCCATAACACAGATTAGAATAAGGGGAATGTCAAAACGGATCATTAAGAACCCTTTTTGTTATTATTTCGTAAATTTAACTAAATTTATTGTGAGAATATTTGAATCAGGGCTCAACGGGTATTGTTAAAATGGGGTTCCTCTCTCTTCAGGGCGTGGAGGATAATTGTTTTTCCCAGTTTCCTTTCGTATGTTATCTTCTACGATATTTTCCCATTTACAACCATTTTTTTTTTTTTTTTTGTCTTTGGGATACTTATTCCCCTATCATTTCGAAGTGCCAAATTCAAATTCCAGCTGGGTTCTTTACATTCACTTACGCGCAAATTTCCTTGAGAAAGTTATGAATCCATGTTTTCCTCCCAGCTATGGGTTAAATAGCAGTATTTGTACCTGGAAAAGTCATTGTTATTCTCCAAAAATTGTTAATTCACTCGCAAAAATAAAGAATTATTCTAACAATTCCAAAAGTACGTTTCGGCTTTAAATAAACCACAAAGGGTTGATAAGCCGTAAAAATAAAATCAGTCAATCAAAAACCACTAACACCTAAGCGTCTCTTTTCTCTCCACCTCTCGCCTTAGGTGCAACCTGTAAGTGTTAAATTTCTCGAGTCTTCCTTCTTCTATGTGTCCTCAAAATTTCAATTATTTCTTTCTGATTTTTAGCAAAAGCTATATAAAAGAATGTGCATAACATTTGAGTAGATATTTAAGCGGAACACCCAGTGAGGAATACAACTTACTATCAATAGCTTTCAATACTGCCTTGCATACTTTTGCTAAAAGGCAGTCACCCTGAATAAGATATTTGTCAAACTTGGCATAATCCTCTACAAAGTTGTGATAGTGGAAAACTTAGCAAGGAATCAAACTTATTTCTAATAGTTTGTAAGGATAACTTACCAAACAACGCTCCACCAAAAGACATTTAATGAATTTAGTCTGACACAAGGCCACAAAAATTAAGCAAAAAGTGGGATGTGAACTCAGGAGGCGTACACAATTAGCCGGCTAATCATCTTCCCATGGCAGAAGCCCTGTCCAGTGTAAGTATCTTCATCGAGGTGTCTTGCCCCTTCAGGACGTTGGCGATCATGGCTCTCCACATTTACTCATCTTTATAGCTCTAATGTTATCTTTCCTAAACCCTGTCCCGCCATCCATTTACTCAAGCTCACTAAGTATGTTGTGACTTTTTTTTAACTCTGTCCTTCTTGTCTTCAATCTGTCCTGTAATTTTAGAAATGTCTGAATTAACTAATTACTAATTACTAGTATCGTCGTCGGCACCCGCTCGCATCTGAGCATTGGGATCGTCATCCTCTCTCCCTATTCCCTTCGATGCTGGCAACAATGGTCAAATTAAGTTATTATAGAACGCATCAAGATTGATTCATTGTAAGAGCAGTAGTGGGAGACAGCACAACATCCATAACATAGATCAAAATAAGTGGAATGTCAACATGGGTCATTAGGAATCTTCTTTTTTTTTACAGTAGGCTTTTGGGCATATGTACCTTTAACCATGCTTTCACTGACACCACAACGCTGGCGTGCACATCTCCAGTGGTTCCGCAAAAGTGTTACCTGGCGAATAGAATAGCGTTCTGTCGAAGTCAGGTTCTACTGTAATTCAAGTGTTAACGGTTCACGTATGCAACTAAGACCTGGCAAGTGACATATTCCAGATTGTATTCGCCCACGACACATAGGCCCCCAGACCTGGCATCATGTTGTTTCTTCTGGAGTCTGTGGTGGAAACATTGAACAGCACCATGTAAATCCAGAAGACTGTTCATCCCATTCTTATACTATTCTTGCAATAGGAAAGCGATGTGATTTTCCAGCAGGATAATGCCCTCCCACATTATTCCTGTGCTACTCAACAGGTTCTACAGGATATATGTTCGACAACTTTACTGGCCGGCACAATTGTCAGACATATTTCTCATTATGTATGGAACATGATAGGACAACACTTGACTTTTTCTGATAGCCCAGCTAATATTTTTGACATATTGTGCAACAACTGCAAGCAGCGTGGAATAATGTATCGCATGTCTTATTCTTCATTATTATGATCGTATATATGCAAAAAATGCAAGAAACAAGGAGGGTCTAAGTACACCTCTTATTTTGAAACCCGTACATGAATTGATTTGTGTATGTTATCATTTATTGTAATTCAGGTCTATTACCTGTAAGTTTTTAATTTTGAGTTCCAAAGTATTGCAATTTTATTTTCCGACACTGTTATATGTACACTAGTTTATCTGTGCAGTCAAAAAGTTGGTTGATTTTGTTTAACGGCATATCAATAACTCTATGGCTTATTTAATGCTGAAATTTAATTTTCTTAGGTGGGTTGGTTGATTTTGTTTAACGGCATATCAATAACTCTATGGGTTATTTAATGCCGAAATGTAAATATTTTAAATACAATCTTATGGCTTCAACTACAGATAAAATTTATTTTTGGTCAATTTGCTATAAAATATATTGTTAGTAATTCTACTATAAAATGTATTGTTGGTCATTTTGCTTTAAAAATATACTATTGGTAATTTTACTATAAATATGTATTGTTGGTTATTTTTTTTATATAAAATGTATTGCTGGCATCTTCACCATAAAATGCATGTTTATACTTCCATAGTGTTTTGTTTGGGGGTTCACGATTTTCCCATAGCTGAGGCCCTAGCAGGTGCTACAACCTCGGGTCAGGGTGAACCTGGGAACAACAGAAAGTGGTTCCACCCTCCTCAAAACCTCCAATCTCCCGATCAGAGGCCTTGCTGCCGTATGTAGTTTATCGTCATACCTAGGACTACTGTGCGCTGAAAATATGTGCGTGAGCAGGCGTCTGCAACTAGGATTGGCTAACCACCCTAGCAGATGGATGTGTTCAGAAATGGGTAACTGGCTATTATAAATATATATAACAATAATAAATGGCTTTATGTCGACGAGCAGAGGTTAATACACAGACTATTTATGAGTGTAATGAATTTGATCCCAACTGGGTGCCCCACTGTTATAGTTCTGTGCCAGACTATGTTATTTTCAGTAAATATCTTCATGATCATAAAACATTTTGACAGGTGTCTGTTTCGTAACTGAACAAGTTGCGTGTCTCTTTCATCATCAGTATTTAAACCCAGGTTTAAAAAATCGGGATTTTGAATGCTGATTTTCAAAGCTAGCAAACTATTTACACTTGGCATAGGACAATATTTGGTGCCGCATTGGACTCAGTCAAGCTTTGTAAATAACTACATTTCTATTTTATAAATTTAACTGAGTATGGCACAAGGCTAAAGTAGTTGAAAAGTGAGATCTCAGAATTGTCTACGAGACTTGCTTGCTATCATGTTATAACAGGCACCTAACTTATACAATATTTTGACCTTGTAAACGTGTGCAAAAGAGAAAAAATGGCGCAGTTTTTAATTACTAAGTATGAATAATACAAACCCCAAAAAGCTGTAGAAAACGAATATATCTATCAGTAAAAACACAAGTATAGATCACCCAGTAACGATCAAAAAGATCAACCAGACGAGACTTGCTAAACATTTGCTCACGTCGAGGCGCCAGCAGAATAGCCTAGTTCTCCTTCTTTATGTGCTGTGTCCCTTCAGGACGTAGATGATCATGGCTCTCCACAATTTCCTGTCCTTTGTAGCTCTTTATTTTGTCCTTTTGTTATTTCTCCTAAACCCTGTCCCGCCATCTATTTACTTAAGCTCACTGGGTATCTTATACGTTGTTTTCTTCTTCCCCTCTTTTCAGTCTGATCTGTGAGTATCAGACTTTCCAAGCCCTCTTTCTTCATGATGTACCCTAGAAATTTCAACTGTCTCTTTCTGATGTTAAGCATATGTGTTTTTTTTGTTCCTGTTTTCTCTAAAGCTTCGTCATTTCTCACATGTTCGGTCCATGTTATCCTCAACATCATTCTGTAGAATCACATTTCTCTTGCTTCAAGTCTTTTCTTCATCTTTGAGGAGATTGTCTACCACTCACTGCCATACTGGAAGACCGATATTACTTTTCCTTGTTTATAGCGAAGTTTATCTATTGCTTAATACACTGCTTAGCTTTAGGAAAGCATCTTTGGCTATCCCAATGCGCCTTCGGATTTCAGTTGTCGCACTTTCCATCCTCTGTTAAAAAACTTCCTAGAGATTTAAATTTTTGTACTTGTTTGATTTTGATGTCTTCGATTTGTAATTTGCAAGCGACTCCTAAAAGTGAAATGACAAAATAAAGTCCCAATTCCGGTGTTATTTTTCTCGTTAATACTCCAAATAGAAATGTGTGAATTTTAGTTTTCTTCTCTTTTCATAGTCGGTCTTGTTGACTCTTGGTGAAACAAGACAGCCGGCTTGTAAGTGATTTTCAGTTCAAGTCTCTCATCTCCCCCCACAGGCATAAGCAGCAAAAAAATGACTGCAAATATCAAATAGCAACCAATACACTGTAAACATTCTATCAGCATAAAGTGGTTGAGATAAAAACCTGAATGCGTACATTAATCCGAAAGTGCTGTGTCCCAAGACCCCAGGGGTGCATGAAACCGTAGATAATACCGAACCACACACACACATATATATATATATATATATATATATATACACACACACACATATATATATATATATACACACACAC